CAGTCGTTCAAACATTTGAGGAGGGGTGGGGAGCTAGAAGGTGGGGGAAACCTTTGGAACAAAGGGCCAAATCTCAACAGATCGTGACGACAAGGCCACTCTACTGCTTACAACACCCCGTTCCCTGTCTAAGTCGTCTGCAAAGGGTTCGACTCCCCGAGCGAAAGAAATTGCGATGAAGAGACCCCCAGGGTGTCGGTGCTCCGCCGCAGGAGGGACAACTCCGAACTTATGCTTTCGGGGCTAGACCAGCTGGCCCTATCGACAGCATTGTGTCATCCGAGGAGGCATACACGGTCGCTGCAAGCACGGATTCTGACTTAGAGGCGTTCAGTCATAATCCCACGCACGGTAGCTTTGCACCGCTGGCTTTTCAGCCAAGCACAATTGCCAATTGTGCGAACCAACGGTTCCTCTCGTACTGGGTTGGATTACCATTGCAACGAAGGTGCATCAGTAGGGTAAAACTAACCTGTCTCACGACGGTCTAAACCCAGCTCACGTTCCCTGTTGGTGGGTGAACAATCCAACACTTGGTGAATTCTGCTTCACAATGATAGGAAGAGCCGACATCGAAGGATCAAAAAGCAACGTTGCTATGAACGCTTGGCTGCCACAAGCCTGTTATCCCTGTGGTAACTCTTCTGACACCTCTAGCTTCAAGTCCTGAAACGCTAAAGGATCGATAGGCCATGCTCTCACAGTTTGTATTCGTACTGGAAATCAAAATCAAATGTGCTTTTGCCCTTTTGCTCAACACGAGATTTCTGTTCTCGTTGAGCTCATCTTAGGACACCTGCGTTATCTTCTAACAGATGTGCCGCCCCAACCGAACTCCCCACCTGACAATGTCTTTCGCTTGGATCGGACAGGCCACGAGGGCCAGCACCTTGGATCGAGAAGCAGGGGTAGAGCCCCGACTCCACCTCAAGGGTGGAGACAAATGGTGGCGACCATGGAGATAATGAAAGAAATCAATTGCATAGAGCAAGGAAGGTTCGCATATTATATAGAAAAAAAAGTGAACAAAGATAGAAATCTTTCACCATATATGTCTTGGAGGGTATGGTTGGAGGACAAGGGACCAAGAGGTGCAAAAACATTTGTGGAGAGATTGGACGAGAGTCGCGTCGAGGGGGAGGAAATGGTCGCGACGAAGATGGTCGCTTTGAAGAGTATATGGAAAGCATTGGTCGTATTTAGAATATGTACCAGACACCCGTATTTGAGGTTGATACCCACGAAGACTGACCCACGGCCGATTGAGTTGCACGACTTCCACGTTGAAGACGCGAAAGGAATAACCGTAAACGACAGGCGCGTTATATGCAAAAAAATAGCTTCGGAAGTTGCGAAACTGTTAGCGGGCGAGGAAGATGTATGGAGCGTGATGTCGGGCTATTTAAAGAATATGATAGAGGTAATGTACGAAGCCATAAAAGGTCATGGTTTGTGCTCGAACTTCCCATGCTCAGTGCCCGGCGGTGCATGCGGAGAGTTGTTAGCAATCACCGATCTGGACGACGTTGTAGTGAGACTGCAGGTTGCGAACATTGAAAACGAATGGTGCACGAATTGTCAAAAAAAACATCCGAGATTGTCTAACGGAATGCGGCACCGGACTGTTTGGGTCAGAATCGCTCACGTTGATGGAATCGAAACGGAGCAGTACAAAGAAGTACATAAACTGCTCATGAAGGTTATAAAGGAAACTGAAATTATCGGAGTGGAGGGTGCGAAAGTGCATTTACACAGTTTCTATGATGATGGGTTTGAAAGGATTGTCGAGGATGTGTATGTCTTGAGGGGGGAAATATGTTCTATAGATATTGCGTCGATGTTGGTGAGAAAGGGTTTGGTCTTCGTGCATCCGACTCTCTGCCTGCGTACGGAGTTGCACATAGAGCAAACAAATTCCAGATCCGTCGCAGGAAATTTATTGAAGAAAGTCAATGAAGGAGCGAACGACGAAAACATCCCACGGGAAAGAAGTGAAAAAACATTTGACCACGTAGTAAGGATGTGGTTTCAATTGAAGAAGAACTACTCGAGAGAGTTGAGCTTGAAGGACTGCGTACAGAAGTTTGAAGAAGAAGGTGCAAGGTATACCAGTGAAGTCATCGATTTCGTGAACTTGAATATGTGGAAGGGCATGCAGAGACCGTGGGTCTACAAAAAAAAAAAGGCGCAACGGCTAGAAAACACGGGAAAGACGACTCGGAAGGCGAAAAAATTGATGAGTCATTCACAAAGAGAATCCCAGAGCTGCAAGCGAAGACTGAAAAGAGAGAATGACCGAGGCAGGCGGAGATCGTTTGAAGGTTGCACGGACGAAGATGAGAATTCTGAGGAAGAAAACGAGGAGGATGCAGAAGGAGAAGAAGAGGACGATGTATAAGCGAGAATTCTAAATGCTGAGAGGAAGGAGAGATACGCACGTAGCAAAGCCTGTCCTTTGTACAAGAGGAGATGCGAGAGGAGGGATAAAATCGGCGTAAGGAGGTTCCAACATAGAGGAGAGTAATTATCGTTATATTCGTGATGAAAGAGAAGTGCGCAACAAGGAAACAAAGAGGATATTTCGACTTGTTTGAACAAATGAGGAGGTTAAAGGTAAAGTTATGAACTTGATCCTGTGCCTGTGAAATTTTTAAAGTAGGAGGTTAGGAAGAAAGTGTTGCAGGGGGCTAGCACGATTGCATTTAGTCACGGTCGTGCAACTCAAAGCGAGGAAGGAAACATGATGATTGTTGGGGTAGAGATGTTTATCGAGGGGGGGKAGGAGGGGGGCTAGGGAGGGGGGCTCGGGGGGGCGGGGAGGGGGGGGGAAATATGTTTAGCAAGAGGGATATACCTAAGACATGGATTTATTATATTCCAACGAAATGAAGGTTTCATGTAAAATGAGAAGAAAATCGAAATGTCAACTATTGCTTTGAAAGTTATATCGCACGGTTATATTGGATATTGTGGTTTGTAGAAATGAAATATAAAAAATGTTGAATGTTTTTAAAAGATAAGACAAGTAAGTTATTGCGTCCAAAAGGCTGATATATGATGTGGTTTCATTACTCTCTTCATCGTTGCGAACATGGGATAAAGAAGGATGTATACATTCCGAAGTCATTGTATCAAACTTATGTTAATAAAAGTAAAAATATGATTTTGTAGTTTGTAGTTGTGCATTGGAAGCGAGTACTTATAATAAGAGGAATGTTACTTGTGTGATTGTGGCTTATTGCGACAGGTGAGTGACTGAAGTTGCTCCTCTTCGTTCTCAAGCTGGAGTCGTGACATGAGACTTTGGGGAATTTGATGCAGAGGTAATGAAAAACAATTTCGAAGGTACACCTCATGTATTTTGAAGTTGCAAGTAATTATGGTCAATTTCACGAAATTTGTATCGCTCGGAATAATATAAAGTACAATTCTTTTTAAAAGTGCACTAACAAGGATCCTTGTTGTGTTTATGATGAACGCGTGTGCAGGTCATGATTTTGGAGGTCATCATAGTGCAGGCCATCATTACAGGGTTCATCATTGCGCAATTCATCATTGTGTCTGCAACGGAGGATAGATGTTTACATCTAGGGCGCAGTACATCTAGGGCCGGGAGAGAGAGAGAGAGAGAGAGAGAGAGAGAGAGAGAGAGAGAGAGAGA